AACTGGGGCCACTTGAAGGACATCTGATGATCATCTTGCGTCTTGATTTTGGCGTCGCCTTCTATTCTTCTATTTTGGCTCGAAAAGGTGATTGTGATTGGTGTATGTTGTTGTGACCGCAGCCTGAGGAAATAGAACTTGGCTGATTTCCGCTGCCATGTTTCGATTCGGAGTCGTCAGTGCCCTTGCCACCGCGGTGACAGCTGATTCGGTACTGGATGGGGCTTTGGCGTGGATCAAAGCCAACGGCGAGGAGGCAAACTCGTCCTTGAATGAACATGCCATAAATACCGAAAGTAGATGACGGAAATCTCTTGACTTGATTCTCTCGACTCTTCTGTTTGCATAGTGGTAACCTAAGCCACATGGCAATGTTGTGTAACCAGCAGTTACACAACATTCATCCGGTCAGCCCCAGCGCCGGAGGTCTTGGACACCACCCAGCACTGTGTTGCAGCGGCCAAGATTGCCTCTGGACTGCATTCCAAGTGTGGCCAGGTCTTCAATCCAGAAGGCTCGGCGCGCGGCGCGAATTTGCACTGGCCGTGGTGAGGTGTAGCGGTGTAGCCACTGAGATTCCTCAAATTAACTAATACTTAGTAAAATAGTAATAAATGATATTATTATTTAGATAATTTTAGATATACCAGTGGCTATAATATACCATTGGGTCTAGTTATATAATATTGTATATCTAAATTCTAAATCATCATCCCCCAATCGGAGATTTTCTTGGGTTTACCACCAATGATACCTAATTCACCCCTATTAAAAGGTGGGCAATAACCCCAGCCATAGGCAGGATTGGTAGGATTTGTATGGATTTGTCCATTTGTTGTTGGTGGGGTGAGCTAACCCACTTGCGATTCCTGGGATGAAGCATGTCTCGCCCTCTAGGTAAATGGACAATTCCCTCTGAATGGAGGTTTCAAAGATAGTCCCATCTCTCAATGGCAGATTTTCCTTTGCCATGTTTGATTTCTGACGGGTCACCCACCAAACAACATCCAATCCAACTGGCAGCCAGGCTGGGCTGCCTTTGCCGCTTGGGGTCTGCTGGAGTCTCTGGAGTATGTGGATTACCCGCTGGCGTCGCAGTTGAAGAACTCCAGCTTCATTGAATCCGCCAAGGAGCAGACCATCAAGGCTGGGAGAGGCTGGTCGACCATGGCACTTTTTTTATCACTCCGAATCTGCTTGGATCCATCATTTGGGTCAGTCTGAAAATGGGGTATACTCCCAAAATGACCATTTAATGGGACATATGATGGCTAGTCGCAATGGTTTTGGGATACCCCCAAAAAATCAGACGAACATCATTCCGACTTTTCAGGGTCATAGTTGCCATCCACTTCCGAAGTGATGATTTTCGTCGTGAAATCCGGATGATGTATCCAGTAGATGGACATGACCATGTATACCCTCTGGTAACCGAACAGAAGTATGGAAGACCATTTTTATGGCCATTTTCCATAGCTATGTTAGTTTACCATAGGGTAAAAAATCATCACCATGTTGTAGTTGAATTAGCACGACAATCCTCTGAAGGACTTTCCATAGCCGATGTCAACCAAGGTGTCAGGGGGTAACGATGTCACGAGGCGACGAGGTGATGCGGCTAAGATTGGGGGAAGGGAATGATCCCAAAATCACCAGAGATTTAAGCTCAGTGAATCATATGATACATTTCCACACACACACATATACATTGAGGGTTCAAGCAGCTGTAGACCCAAATCTCCCCCGCAGGCGGTTTCACAAACCTAACCCAAGCCATGCCTTTCTCTACCCCATGCAGGCTGTTACTCCAAATGATAACACGGGCCGGTAAGCTGCACCAAATGCTGATTTTCGCGAATCCATGGTTCGTCATCATCCCAGTCAGTTGATTCATCTATGGTGATCACAATGGGGACCCTGAATAAATAAACCTGATATGAGAATATGTTCGTCTGTGACTGGCCTAAGCGGTGAAAGTCTGGGTTTGCCTGAAATAAGGCCCGCTGAGATAGCACAAAGGACATAGAGTTGCAATTGTCGAACAGGATAAAGCCGTGAGAATCTCTGTCGTAATGTTGTAACTCAGCGGCCGTGGCACCCTGGACAGTTTGAATGAAAGGAGGCTTCTGGATATACGTAGGCAAAACGAAAGGGAGGCATTTTGCCAAGGTGCTTTTGCCAGCGCGCGAAGGCGCCCGGAGCACAAGAAATTTGTACCGAGAATCTAAAATGGAATACTGTTTGGCCCAGTCTTCGACTCGGGCAACCACTTCTGGCAAAAATGGCTTTTGCAATGGGTGGAGCTGAGCCACCACTTCGGCCTGCTCACGTCGGAGGCGACTTTCGCTCTCCTGCTGCATGACTGCTTCCACAGCGCGTTTGCGGGTGATATAGCCCAAGCGCACCTGCAACCTGCTGCACACGGTGTTGACACTTTTATAGTGATAATTCTGGAGACATTGGCCCTCTGTCTGAAAATGCATCTATAGAATCAGAGACCCCAAGGTATTTTCAAGTTGACAATCTCTTTAGAATCGCTGCCCCCAAGTCACTCTCGTAGAGCCGTTTTTGGTTGGGGGGGTTAGTTGGCCTTCTATAAAATCAGGCTCCCCAAGTGTCATTCATTGACAGCTGACCTGAATGCTCCAGTTGCTCTTGCCTACCTTACCTTATGCATTCCCAATTTTATAGAGCTCAACGGCTCCAAGTGTTCACTGTCAACCTCTTCGATTATATACAAGGATGATCAATGATGATGAACGAATTGTTGTGGGAAATTTGTTCTGCCAATACTTCTCTATAGAATTGAAGAACATGACATACACCAAAAGAGAACAGATCCAACTATAGAATCGCAGTGGCTAAGGCTTTCTGCTGACTAGGACTCAGTGCTGTATTCAACATGAAATCTCTATAGAATCAGAGGCCCCAAGGTCCTCTATACAATTGAAAGCGTTGACACTGGGTAGGGACCCCTAAACAAAGCAGGGGGTTAAAACGCACCATTTTCCAGGACCCAACGTTCTTGATTCTGTAGAGGAAATTCCAAGGGGGATATTTGAAGGTATCTGAAGATATGTTACGGCAAAATTATTGCTTATGTTCGGACACTTTATCAGACTCGAAGCAGCACTTTTATAAACAACATAGGTGTTTGTGACGTTCCCTATTCTATGAAATGGACCTGCTATGAAGTGGTCCCACTGAAATTCACATTGGGTTTATGTTATGTTCCGTTTCATACAAATCTTTTCGGGGTTGTTCAATATTCTGGTACCCGAAAACTGCCCGCACGCCACCCTTTCGCGAACCGTTCGCGCCCCAGCAGAATAGGGACAAGGAATTCTGATCATGTTATCGTGCGCATATGTGTTTATAAATAGTGGTATGCAGACCTCGTTGAATTTTAAGGTTTCTCCATCCCACTTTATTACTTGTATATTATGGTACCCATATTCCAGACCACATAAAATATGATAAAGAAACATTTATAGTATGGGTTTAATCATTTCATCCGGACATGGGTTCTTCCCTTCCATATAGAGCTTCAATCAAGGGGGATCGATAAACAGCTATTGACAAGTCAACTGCAATGACACCGCCTAAAGTGAGTCTTTGGCATCCGCACCCCTGGGTCCATGTATATATATATATAAATAGATATATATATATATCCATAGATAGATATAGATAGATATAGAAAGACATATCTTTGTATAGATCTGTCTCGAAGAGATATATATATATATGTGTGTGTGCGTGTGTATCTAAATCTCTCGAAAAATGTCTCTATATATCTACATATGCTGATCGCCATGCAGCCATGGAGCGTCCAATAAATGTGGACCCTGATGTATCTCCGGAATGAAAACAATGCTGCTTAACCCAGGCACGCGTACTGCAGGTACTGCTGATGAGAAAGCTTGTGCCCACTCCACAGCGCATCCAGCCATCTGCCCTGCACTGTGTAGTCCTTGAACGCCTCGTAGGAGCTGGTGGCAACGAAATGGGTTCCTACCTGCACAGATCGCCCGGGTGAATTCCACCCAGCACTCAAGGCATGTCAGCCGAGGAAATGATCTGGTGGTGGGTCCAGACAATTAGATTAGATGTGATGCTGGCGACGAAACAATCTACATATGCCGCTTGCTGTCAATTCCTGTCTCTGCAAACGGCCATTTATCGCGAAGCAAAAAGTTTCTTTCGCGCATCCTTCGCGAACTGCATGTGTATCTTTCGCGCAACCCATGTTGAGCAATAACTCCGCTTATGAAGATTCAATCGGCACAGGCCAAATCACACCAAATTAGCACGGAAAAGTGCTTCATAGCCTTGCAAACATTGTGCTAGCATCACGGAATCCCCTTCGCGAACAGGTTCTTGCTGCTGAGGAACTTTTTTAGCAAGGCTTACTGGGCCACGCCCTTCAAAATGCCCTTTAACTTTACCTAGTCTTTTGCAGCACTTGCGTGCAACTGTCGTGCAAAGACTTGTCTCCGCAGACCACAGCCAGGAGCACGGGGGGGCGGCAAAGGAAAAGCAAACACCAGGTGCCTTGGTGTTTGGCTCTTGCAAAGTGTCCCTGTTCGAAGCTTGGCTGCTGCATTTCGCGGTTGTTTCTTGAGACTTCAGAAAGCAACGTTAGGCAGGACCAGCGGCAGGTGCAAGGATGTGCTTGGCCACCATGGTATTTGGCTCTGGCGAAGCGTGACCTTCGGAAGCTGGCTGCTACCTATGAAGGGAAAAGCCAATGTGCGGTCCCAGTCTCCTGCCGGACCCCCGACAGCAGGGAGGCGGTGGTAGCCCTTAACAAGCGGTACTGTAGACAATGAGGATGATGCATTCTAGCCACCGTTCGCGACACTTTCGCGAAGCAAACAGTTTCTGTTTCGCAAACAAACTTTCGCGCGGGGTCCCAGCACAAATGAACTGTGTTTGCAATTGAAACTCGTTATCAGGACCTTCAGATGGATCACCACATATATATGTTTATATGCAGAGATATATTTCGATATATCGATAGTGATAAATCTTGAATCAATGCGTACAAAGAAGAAGGATTGCCTATGCAAGACCAACCACGTAGATAGCGGTCCAATGAGTTCAGTTCATCCAAATCAGGCTCGTGGGTGCCCAGACCAAGGTGGCCTACAAAATGTTTGACTGCAAACACGATCTGCTGCAAAGCTGCCAGGTCTACTGATGATCAACTAGAAGCTACGTCATGCTGCTGCCACACGATCGGATTAGTGACAAAGGTGGCCTACATGAACTGCAACTTTCAACATGAGATAGAATGTCGTTACAAGGTAACCCAACGGAGATGCACCTTTGCAGCCCAAACGTAAAAATGTCCTTGGTCTGCCGCATCTCGCCAGCGTGCGCCCCGTGCCCGACATGGGGAAAGATTGGGCTGAATGCCCTTGAAACGGAGCGCCGTGCATGATTGCCAGTCGACGGGGCGGGCGAATTCCAGGAAGCAATGAATATGTAGACGGCCAGCATCCTCCGAACGCAAACTTGATTCCATCGTGGCACTCCATTTGCCGACCCACTCACACGTTGCAAGCCAAGTAAGGAACTCATCGAAATCCGCCAGCTGCAGCTGCAAGGAATTGTAGGTTACCAACACTGCTCGTGCTCGAAGACGAAAAGGGCGGGCATCACCTGTGAAAAATGTGCAACAATGAAGTGGCTGCGACTAGGACTCATGACTATACCCCTTCTAGTTCAGTCTCTCCCATCTGCATGCAAGGCTGAGGCTTGCCTACTGTCACTGATGCATGTCATGTCCATCCACTGCTCTAGGTCTCTTACCCTCCGGAAAGTACCGTCCCGGATGCTAATGGCAACTACTTGCGGTCTGACCTGGTCCTGGGGCTGCTGCCATATCCACATCCTCTTGGGTCGATGCTGCTGCACCAGCTTCGTCTGCTGCTGCAACGCCCTGCAAAGCTGAGTAGAAACAGTGTGAACCAGAAGGCCGTGCAAACCCAGCGAATGGTAGCACCAACCAGGACGGCTGAGCAAGTCGCAGCAGGGTGAGAAATGTGAAAAGTGACCCGAACAATGGGTCGCAGTCTTTAGCACCCGACAAACAGGTGAGGCACCTCATAGAGGTCAATGATGTCTCGCAGCTTCTGAGTGTCACTCGGAGACAAGGTGCAGTTCTCCAGGCGCTGTCGTTGCGCTGCAAAGTCGGCGCGAGACAATTCACCCCGAAA